TTTTTATAAAGTTGTCAATTTCAGCATCAATGACATTAAGTTCGTAAATAAAAGAAGGTTATCTCGAAATTGTAATTAGGAACATAGTATAAATTTCTTTTGATAAATATTTCCAAAACATCGTGTTTCTTCATAAAACATAAAAAAAAAATATTCTCGGATGAAAATGCACTTGCACAGACACAATTATGAAGAAAAGTGCCATAAATTTGCAATTTTCTCCCGTTATATAGTTTTGGATGCAAATTTCCATCAGAAAATCAGATAGAGCTTTACCAAAAATCAGCTAATTCCATGTGGTGGAACGTTCTCATATCGCCGCCTGAATGTGGTTGTAAATTGAAAGAAAAGGGGAAATGAGTAACAACCTTGTCTGAAACCCTATTATATAGCTTATTATATACAAACTTTTATATTGAATATCAGAGCGGATATTTTCATGACAGTTTTATGATGTGTAAAAAAAAAAAAAAAAAAAAGTACTGTTTCCCCGTCTCGATTTTGATTACTTGAGAACCATTACATGTGGAACGTATCAGATATCTCTGGCTCCTGGTTACATCGCCGAACATTTAAGTGATGACGGCGACTATGAGGTGTGGCTTTACCAGCACTCCCCAGACCTTCTCCGATGTCAAATACATTCTCGACACAAAAGCCAAACGAAATATAACGTTTGGATACTGTTCACCGTTTCACCCGATGTTGAGGCCCCAATAAAGGACTACTACTGCCAGTGCCCAGTTGGAGAGAGAACGATGGGAATGTGTGCGCACATCTCCAGTATCTTGTACTACCTTGGGTATTACAGGACGCTGGAAAACCCTCGACCATTACAACCACAGGTAAAACGTTTTGTTTGTTGTTCTGTCTATTTGTCAGCCAATGTCTTCAACCGGACTTGCGAAGTAGCCATCTTGGATTTTTTTATGAAAAAGTGTTTCTCTCACTTTTTTTCATATCTGTGTACATATTCTCAACATACCGAGCAAATACTCTCATTTTTTTGTTAATTATCTAAAGAAAGTCGAAAATCAGCAATTCAACCATAGGCTAATTCAACCCAACATTTGAAAATGTTCCACCACTTAAATTTTGATGATTTTTCCTCTCATCAATAGCATATTACGTACTATTTAATAGGATAAAAATTGGTTTGCATCCAACGCCCATAAAAGGGTGTATTCTCTAAAAAACACAGTTTTTGTGTCTAAAATGTTATCATCGAAAATGGCATTTTTGAGATTGTTTCTTCCATAAAACAGCCAAATGGCGCGATGGAAACATAATTTTTTGTCACAATCATGCCATGAATGTATTCTTTACGGTGACTATCATTTGATTAGATTTTCATTAATATTTTACATAACATGCACATTTTATCAACACTTGGACAGCTTCTGAAAGGTACAATTTTGAGGAGCCATAAAAAACAAACCAAGTGAATCAAATCTTTATACTTTATAGATTTGTGACCACAATGGCATGGGCAATGCACCACCAACAGGAAATTTGAATCAGAGAAGGGGCCGTTTTGGAAACCGGCCCTTTATATAGATTTGGTGGGGGTATACATATTAATCTAAAACTTGTTGAGAAAGTACTCAATATCAGTAAGATACATCTGTTACCACATTCAATACACAGTTTGTAGTTGTTAATCAGCTTAGTCCATTGATACATTTGTCACTGTTGAAGACATTGATTTATGCATCTTTGCTACAATACACATCTGATTACAAAGAACAGACCGCCACACTTAAAACTTTCCAACTCATTTCACATGAAAAACTTAACTCTATTGGGAGAGTTTGAAAGCTTCGTAATGATATATGTAAATTGGGAAAACTTGAAATTAACTTAAATGTTTTTTAATGTCCTGAATTTTTTTCATTTCATATATCATCAGTGTCATTGTCACCTCAATATTTTTTTTCAATTTTTTTTCCCTTTTCAATAGAGCTGTAGTTTGTTGCTAAAATATCAATCATAATTCTTATAAAGAACTCAAGAAAAGTGTTGATAATATGTATCCTTACTAATTCTGAAGTAGAACATCTTGACATAAGTAACACCTACACAATGTAGGGCAATGTCATCTACTTCTACATGGAGAAAATACTAAACATAAAGTAAAAAGTCCTAATGTGAAACTATACTAATCTGGTAGACATCTATAATTATCTAGCCATTTTGCATGTGTATGTAATCATACCACATACATGTTGTGTACATGATTTTTGTAAAGAAAAATTAACATTTGTGTTGACTGTTTGCCAAATCAATCAAATGCCTGCCAATTGACTTTTTTTTCACAATTTTCAACAGGATGTTGAAAAATATTGAAGTATGAAGTATGGCAGTTTTAACAGATAAAAGCTGGTACAGGGTGTCTGATATGTACAATGTTTATGTGATCAATACTGCATCAAATATACGCTGACTGTATAGAAGTAGAGAATAATATAACCGGTAAAATGATACTTTATCGATACCCAACAAATGTGCCATCTTCATATAATGTGTAACACATGCACATATAAATCAAACATGTACTTACGTCATATACTGTTAAATACAAATGCTATAGCTTGTATCGAAAGTTAACAACTTCATCATTTAAAAGCCTTAGTATGCTGCTGCCAAATTTAGAATCAAGTCTTGTTGTTGTGCCACTATTTCATCAAAAACTTTGTTATACTGAGTACAGAATTAAAGTCACGTTATATTGCCACTATTTCACATTAAAACCTTGTTACACTGTCACCAATTTACAAAGAAAGCCTTGTTTTACTGCCACTATTTTACAGTACAATACATGGTAAGTGACTTCAGTGTTAAACATTTTTTTTTTTTTTTAATTTTGTTTTTCAAGATTTTACAAAGGTATGCAACACACGATATATACTAGACTCACATACACATACACACCCTGGCACACATCACACTACACCCATGTACGCTCACTCAAAACATGCACTCATTATTTCCTACTCTTTCCTCTTTGCTGACATGACATACAATGTACTACTGTGTTTCATTCACAAGCCCCAATAATAATACAAACTCAATGACTGCTGTTAAACATTTTTATACAAACACCATTTATATATACTGGTATCATTGTTCAGCAAATCTTCTTTGTTTAGCCTCACAAAAGTGCATTTGAAATACTTTACTGAAATTCAGCATTTTGGACAATACTAGAAATTGAATTTCAAAATGGGAAAAGAAAAAGTCTTAGACAAATTAATGTTTCTATTTGATTTTAATTATGAATAAGATTGATTGTTATTTTAATTAAGAAGTTATTTACTCTAAGAAAGGGGCCTGGCTTTTAATTTGCATGAGTTATTTCCTGGTGTGTGAGTTGTTTTAAATTAGATATTGTTAGTCTATGACCTGCTGGTCGGAATCAAATAAAAAAAAAACTTTAAAACAAAATATCTTGTGCATATTTCAAAATATTTAAGTGCCTATTAAATTGCAACAACACATGAAGATTAAGGCTCTAGATATTTTTTCTTTTTATTACTTTTTTTCTTTTATTTACAAAATCTTTGTTATTATCATGATATATAACCTCAATCCTTTAAATGTTAAGGACATAAAATTGCCAGATAGCTTATTCTGAACTTTGCTCCATTCATCTACCATGTATGTATGGAGAAATATTCTATCACAATAAAGGCAACAAGTTATCTTATAATAAAAAAAATAGGGATCAAAGCATCATTAGGGATGAGAGTTTTATTAGAATACTCAAGGAAATTGATCATAATAAGCTTGTTGATAACAGAAATTGTCATACATTTAATCTGGCTTTGATCAAGAGTCACTCTCAATTGCCTGTCAATTCTACTTTACATGACAAGATAATTAAGTATGTAGCAGATTTATCAAACAAATATATATTAAATATGAACAGCTAGTCAACACAGATGCAATTTAATTTGTCTATATAAATGACAAATTGGAATTTCATTTAGATGGGTGTGTTTGTTACCAGTATCAGGTAAATTAGATTTATATCACTCAATTTCAGTTGTAGTTTTTATTTGTTTAATTGATGTTATGATCCTGTAATTTTTTCCCTTTCATGTTGTCATTGATGGATAAATTACACAATATATTAAGCATGTACATATATTATACAAAAGTTATGCATACATATCAAATACATGCTTTTCCAAAATGATCGTGTTGATCAGATTACCATATATATAAAGTTCAATTTTCGTAAATATTCTCTACAAATTTATTTCTCTGGGAAATCAAGAGGGCATAATGGCAAAAGCATCTGCACATATCAATGAGAAATGTTTTGACTGATTGCCAAATAGTGCTCAGGTCAAAACATGTGTGTACAAATTATCAAACACACCATGTCCTATATATATATATAAACTAGTACTTGTTAAAGTTTTAATCCTCAATAAGCCAATTAAGGGGTGTAACACATGTTTTGTAGTATCCCACTCTCTTCCATCACTTCAGGCTATTTCTTTACTCACTTTCCTATCTTTTCTTGTTCACTGAAATGCCAAAAGGCCGTAATTGTGGACATAAAACCTGTTAGATAAATAGATGATTGGTAACTATAAACCTATAGAGATGGCCTTATTACAATAGAAATGATGAAGTGTTTGTTGGCTCCTGAAAAAGCAATACAGTCTGAGTGGCCATATTACTTATCATGGATGTGTATTGCTGTATGGTTATACATAGAAATGCAGCCAGACATGCCTTTAGTAATTACCATTGTGTTATTGAGCAGTGTCTGGATAAATGGTTTTTATTTCCTCACAGAAGTTTTGCTGGAATTCCACTGGACATCAGAAGTATTTTAGTAATTTAATCAGATTTTTTTCAAAAACCACATAAGGTAACAACTGTAAAGTCAACTGGACCTCAATCATTTAAATGTTAATTATGTAAATGTAGTTCTACATCACACATGATTTCAGTGAACATAAACCAGAAAACAGATTTTGACCTACCTCATTGTGAGTTTTAACTACATCAGGATTTACTGGCATGCCATTGCCTGCATCCACAAACTCCTCGGTGAGACTTCTCTTGCTGCCACCAAGCAAATGTTTGAGTAACATGGGTCCAGCCAACACAAACACAACTGCCACCACCAACAGTTTGAGGATGGTGACAGAGTTACGCCTCATGTCGGCACTTTAAGGTTTAACTGTCTAATATATCTTAAGGACCTGAAAGTGCAAAACAGTACCTGTATATACAAGTAAAAATATAATGAATTCCCATATGCTTTATACAATATAAACTGTGAATGTGGTTGTGATGTACCTTATATTTCTCTCCTTTCCAAATGTTTTCATTTCCAGATTTATTTTACTATCCCTGACCATGATAAATAAAAAAGTATAACTATTATTATCATTTATTATTAACAACCCACCAACATACAAACGTGCCAGCTAGGCATTCAGGAAAGGTCATTACGAATAAGAAGTCACGGACCAAAGAAGTTCCAAAAGGAAATGAAATCAAACAAACAAAAACTTTTAAAAGACAAGAAACACATTTCAAAACACTTACATTACATATTATAAGTAATGTTAGTTCAAGGTGATTAAGTTTCAATATATAACTAAACATTTTGAAAAGGGGAGATATGCATCAGACAATCACTAAACACCAACATTGGTAACTTCAGCGGGCATCTCTAAGTACCCCTAATGTTCTATTCTTATTTAAGAATATGATGTACCAGCATGTAAAACATGGTATGATATGGTAAGTGATATTAATTTGAAAGAGATAATTATTCCTTGTAACAAGAATCTATCAAGAGGTTAGATATAGACTGTACATGGACAATTATCTTTAGACCCTGCTTTTCCAAAATATCACCTAATTTTCTTGCATTATATGATAAAGTTGCCCTGTCTGGGATTTCATCCTCCAAGATCGATAAAGGACCCCTGGGTTAAAAAACTGTTTAAGGTTTCAAACTTTGTAAGGAATTACAAAACATTAAAACAAATAGTAGATAAGCTGATCATAATTTGGTTCAGAGTTACCTTCCACAGTTTATGTGTATTTAACGTCAGTCAGTAATTCGCGTGAAGTTTTTGAAAAATACATCGCAACAAAACCTATATATCTCTTTCTACTTGTAGTAAAGCATGAACTGATCAGGATTTATGACTATGACACATAGGTACATGTTACATATGTGAAAATAAAATCACATATTCGTGTTGGCAGATGTTGAGTGCATATTTAACTGTAGGCAACTATCAGGGTAGGCAAGATTGGAATTTTGATCATTTCTTATTTTAGTATTTACACAAACAATACCCTTTCTCGCTGTACTTAGGAAGGAGCACAAAATACTACACCACCTGCAATATGACGTAGTTGTAATAATGATTGCTTATTACATATACTGTGACAATTTTAAATTTAATGTATGCATTCATTACCTTAGACTGTAAAATGTTGTTCTATTTTCATTTTTTTTTTCCAGGAAGGAATGACAAGAACTTGATTCATGTAAATTGAAAATAAATAATAAAAAAAAAAAAAATCTTCTGGATTCCTTTTTGTACACTTTAAGAAATATCACAAAAATTTTCTAAACCATCTGCAAAAATAACCTTTACCTCTACCTAGCTAAGCAGTATCATAAGTAAACTGAATCATACATTTTCAGTTGTCAGTCATGTAGAACCATATTTATAAGTGTCAGTCATATTTATGTTAAATAACTTTTTTGCAAGATTATACAGCTGTAGTGCAAATGTGCAACAAAACAAGAATATTGAGGGTGTATATGTACACAGCAAAATACCACTCGGGTAGAGAGAACTTTTCTTTAGCTTGATCGATTGAGCGTCAGACTAGTAATCCAGGGGATCCCAAGTTTGAATCCTAGCGGCGACAATGAAATAAATAATGATCCCTGTTACTTTGGCACCCATGTTGAGACTTGGGAATAATACTCAGCATCGCTGTAACCCTTGGAAACTTAAGGACAAGTTATTTCCTAGAGGGGATAAATAATGACCTCTGTTACATACAATTAGTTATAACTTTATAGCATTTAATTCAATATACAGTTCTTGATTTTTTGAATTCCTAATAATCCACTGTTATAATCATGTTAAACAAGGCAATTCCTAATTGATACAAGCATATCTGTATATTCATGTACATTTGTGTGCCTGTATGTAGGAAACATGTAGTACAATACAGAGATATCAGAGCAAATCTTCCACATAATAATTTCAAAAATTCATTACCTCTACCACAAAGAGTAAGTTAAAAATAGTTCAAACATCATACAGTGTAGTTTTTCATAGCTTGAAGCTTTGAAAGTGTACCATCTTCTCTTAGGATATACCTTAATGACAATCTGAACCCTGTTAATGATCGAATGAAATCATAGACGCTTAAATTAGAATTTAAAGTTAAGCCGATGAGTTCCGACTTTGGTAACCACTGATACATGCTGCTCCGTTATTTGTGTATGTTTTGATGAAAAGCAATGCAAATGGGTACTTAATAATAAATGAAGATCGACTTCAGCCACTGAACCGGAGAGACGAGAGTGGAACCAGTAGAACGGGACATCGCAACAAAAAAAAACAATAATAAAATAATTAATTCCCTCAAATTTCTATGCTAAATCGCGGGGGTTCAGAGTACCATTAAATCAAAGGCAACGAATACACGTCGTCATACGTAAACAATGCTTCGCTGTCTCCGCTAAACGCTACTGTTATTACAGGTAAAATCAACGGACGTGTGTGCTTACCTGCAATCAAAAGCATTTCAAACAATTAACCTTTAACATGTCCTGTGGACGTATTACAATTATTGATGCAGTGTAAAATATTAAGCTGAACATATCCAGCTACTCATAATTACCCTTTCACTCTCAGGTATGCTATAAATCCTAAAGTTTTTCTCTACCACTACTTCCACGTCTTCACAAGGCTGCCATTTTAACGTGACCTCGAGGTCAACCTCGTTTTGACAGCGGGAGAAATCGTTATCTGGTACGATTGCACGTTGTCGTCTGCTATTTTCGGTAGGATTCACGACTGATTTTGAGAACGCCATAACAAACCAAACAAAGACAGTGATATCTTATTCCAACTAGACATGCCGTTCGAAATCGCGAATAGAAATATTGTACAATCCGATTGAATGACAGACATTATTTCACAAGTGAAATCTCTCTCTCCCTGCCCCCCCCCCCTCTCTCTCTCTCTCTCTCTCTCTCTCTCTCTCATATTTTATATTGAACCATGCCCAACATCCGATCAAACATTGAGTTTCATCATATCCTTAAGGAAATATGCCACTGAGCGCGGTTATTGCACTGTCTTTCTTTCAAACTAAGCGGCCTAGTTGTCAATGGTTGATTCAAACTTTTTATCTGAAATGCAAGTTCCACTGAATTTACTTTCTGTAGTACAGTTTCTCTGCGGCTCGACTGTGCGCTTTGTGTTTTCGGAGTGAAATCTAACCCAGTCTACATTTTTCGAAGCGAATCCTGACGGAGATAAGACAATACGGACGCATCTAGAGAAAGACCGATCAAATACGAACTCATTCAGACAATTGTAACAACGTGAAATGCATACCGTATTCAACCATTTAAGTCTACATATGATTGCTCGATGCGTTTAGCTTTCCACATTTTTTTTTATTGTAAATAACGATTGGAAGTTTACAACAAGAAACGGTTAATTACCTTTGTGAGATAAAGACGTATGCACTGTCATATTTTATAGTTAAGTATGATCGAGGGTTTGTAAAATTCTTCATCATTTGGACAGCGCGGATCATATTGAATATGTTTTTAAACGATTTTTTGAAGGATGGTGCTTTCCCTAACAAATGTCAAAAGATGTGTTTAGTCAACAGCTATGTAAGAATTTTTGAACAGGTTAACATGCGTGAAAGACTGAGCGGTAATGTTGACTTCTCTCACTCCATACCTCTACATAACAAGTACAACAGTATGCTATATAGAAACTTGCTTTACGTTTTCCACAATTTAATCTACATTTCAAGAAAAGTGTCAAAGTGTGTGTGTAAATGCATGACCATAAATCTATGCTATTATGACTCTATTGCGGTTATATGTACAAAGATATTATTATCATGCATAGCGTACTTGACTGTTCATACACACAAATTTTACGTGATCAGCTCTGGTGTGTACTTGGCTCGGTAAAAGACATTGTTATATATTTTATCTGAACGTAATGTCTGATTATCGTGTACTTATGTTCTTCTTGGTGGTATCATTACCTATAAATTATCTCCATAAGAAATGGGGGATTTTAGAATCAACTCCATTATGATTATAACTAAAACCCTACAACACATTGGCCTGTTGTGATTGAATTATACATTCGCATTGTCTCCAAGCGTTTTGTTCATGACTATGTACACTACGTTTTCGCGCTTTCATGGTCAGACATCATTGTTATGTGTAATTGTATCATTGAAAGGTGATTTATGTATAATTCTATATCACTCGACAAATTATTATATGGACGTGAAAGGTTGTGTTTGTCTGTGTATATCTGTGTGTATGTCTTCCTGTAAGTTTCTTTCAATATTGTTCGAATTTATGTTATATCCCCTCCCCCCTCTGTTTCTGTAACTCTTCATCATTGGAGGTAAAAAAAAAAGGAGTTGAGAGTAAAATTCATGCAAGGGTTTGAAAAAAAAAAGAACTAGAACTGACAGGTGTGTTTCATAACTTGACTGAACTAGCATTGAATCCTATATCAACACCAAGAAGTTATTATTTCTGTGACGACTTGTAATATGGATTGCAAAATGTTGTACACAGAATAGTCATCACTAGATCTTATATGCTTGATATGAACATTGAAAAACAACAAGGATCCATTCCCGATATTATTTGTATCTTGAGGAAGTACTCATTGTATGATACTTTTGTTAACTGTATGAAATTGGGGTCATTTCAAGGACAATTACCATGGAAATAGCTTGTTTATCAAAGTCTATATAGACAAAAGAAAATTCATGGTTCGAGCGTATGTCAAATTTAAGTTTATCCTTCTGAAGTTTAAATCACATCACTTATGGAAATTAGCAGTTAAGTGTCCTCAATGTTATAGATATACAGTGTTTTCAAAAAGTATTTGTAAGTTCT